GGAAATAGATTAATAAATGTTTAAAGGTTGTAAAGAAGCGATGCTAAAATATTTTTTTATTTTAATTAATTGTTTAAACTTTTGAGATTACCATTACCAAAAAAAAAACTGGTAGTTTATAAAAAAATTCTTTAATAATTAACAAAAAGTGTAAAAGTGTTTACAAAAAACTTCTTATAACAAGCTCGTTGTCTAGAAAAAAAATTTGTGGTAGGTTTCCATTAAAAAAAAATTGTTGGTATGATTATCTTGTAAGTATAAACAATTAATTGATATTTAATTTTTTTGAATAGCATTTTTATGCCACTGTACACCTATAAATTTTTTTGACAAAAAAACTGATAGTTTCGCCAGAAAAAAATCGTTTCCAGACTTCTGGACCACCTGTATGTCCCCGGATTGAGTCTACAAAAAGAAAAAAAAAATTTCTTTGATTTTACGCCAAAACTACAAAGGAAAAACATTTTTTGCTTCACCTGAAACGAGCAAATCTGTAATTAAACTTCATTACTCTGATTAAGTAGAAAGAAATAGTATATTACATAACGAGCACGGAAAGTGAGAAATAATGCACAAGCGGGAAAGCAATACCGCGAGTGCGTTAGACACTTTCCTGCAAGTTTTGTACACTATTTTTCCTATGACCATAAATAATTTTTTTCTTACGAACATATTTTTTTTTCATAACGATTTATTTTTTATAATGGATACAAAAAAAAATTACATTGAATGAAAAAATACAAAACATCCGAGTGTGACTTGTGGGTTAGATTTCTAACACACAGTGCGAAAACAAATCGCACAGGTTTTTGACCTCGTACGATGTTGCCAATTTTCGCGCATATGTAATTGTGCGTTATGATCTATTTTCGTATATTGTCGTAGGAAAAGTTAATTTTTCTCTTGATTTTAGACTTTAATAATTTTTCTCTGCTGTTTAAATCTCATCACACATTTTTTTGACAATGATGTTACTTTGACAATTAATTAATTGAATAATGGTTGTTCTTGTATTTTTTATCTTAAAACTGTTTCTTTGAGCTGCCATTTATTAAACTATGTTTTTTACAAACACTTTTGTTATTTAAAAGTAAAACCGCTGATGTGATGGGATTTAATAAGCAGAGAAAAATTATTACAAAACCAAAATCAAGAGAAAAATAAACTTTTCTTTCCACTGAGGCAGAATAATGAAGTTTTCGTTATAGATTTGCTCGTTTCAGGTAAAGCAAAAAATGTTTTTCCTTCCCTTCTGTAAACTCAAAAATTCAATCAATGACGGTAAAAAAAACGAAAAAAAAAAACAGAACAAGAACAAAATTATTATAGATAAATTAAAGAAACGATGAGAGTGTAACAAAAACTAGATTCTTTTCTCAACTCCCACAAGTGATACCAACCGAAAAAGATCTTTTTATGTTATATTAAATTATTGTGCACCCAAAGAAAATGTGAAAAGTCGCCGCCAACTTACTTAGAACCGAAATGCTGGACTTTTGCGAGTAAGTGGTACCAAAAATGTTGGATACAACGCACTGGTATTTTCCAGCATTGGAATGCTGTGCTCTATAAATGTTTAGTTTTGATACTGCTTCTGTCGTTTTACCATCAGAACTGGAATTTTCTTTAATATTCATGTTAATTATTTCGACGTTGTCTTTTTTCCACTGGAAAGTCATAGGGCTGTTTGAACTTGACATCGCTGTACAACTTAACGTAATATTCTCTCCCTTTAAAGCCATTATTTCTGGTTCTGGTTCTTCGATTAATCTCGGTTTAGGTAGTTCGTCTACAACTCCGTATTAACAAATAAAATCAATAAATAAAAAACTATGTACCACAAGTAAAATTCGATGTTGGTACTTCTAAGAATGACTGGCCTCTCAACCATTCGGGGTATGCACAAATTGCGCGGATTTTAAACTGTTTTGTACTCAACCATTCGTAAAACCAACGAATGTTACAGTCACAAAGTAAATAAGTGGTGTTAATAACGAGATCCTAAAAAACACCAATCATTTTTTCAATCACACAATTTGAGTTTAATACCGAAAGCAAAGGCACTTCAGCGAAGGCGTTCATTTGGATTGAGGTAATGTTATTGTCGTTCAAATTTAAATACGTTACGTTTTTTAAACCAATAAAGGCGTTTTTACTTATCGATTTTATATTATTATCCGCCAGATAAAATTTCATTAAATTGCCGAGTCCTTGGAATACGCCATTTGCATCCTCAATCGTCCACGAGATTTTATTATTATTTAAATGCCTTAAAAAATTCTCATTAAAAAAATTAAGATACACCACTCGAAACTTACAAGTATTTCAAATTTGGTAAGTGACTAAAAGCTTTTTCTTCAATAAATGTTATCTTATTGTTACTTAATACTAGTTTTTGGAGATCGTTAAGATGTTTGAACGTGTTGGCTGCAATTGATTCTAATCTGTTATTAGACAAGTCTCTGAAAAAAAACGTATTATTTTTGGTCTTTAATCCTTTGTTAATCTCACAAAATGGCAAGTTTTTTACAAAACTCCCAAGCCTCAGGTTCAATAAAATTCATGTAATTGTGATTCAGAGACAATTCTTTTAAAGACTGTAAACCATAAAGCCATCCTTTTGAAATAACTAATATATGATTGTAATCCAATATCCTTGAAAAAAAATGTCAAATTTAGTTCTGACAAAGAATTAACTACTTACAATTTGTCAATAGACAATAATCCGTAGAAAGCCCCATCTTTGAGTTGCGTTATTTGGTTTCGTTTCAATTTTAATACATATAAACGTTCTAATGACTTAAAAGTTAAAGCTTCAATAGATTTTAACTGATTTCGGTTAAGTTCACTAAAAAAAAAAAATCGTATTATGTAAAATCTAGATAGTAAACAAAAACAATGGAGTCGGAATTACGTCAAGTGATTGGTTGATTCAACCAGACCGGAAATGTGACGTAATGACGGAATTCCGTCCGTTCGTTGGTTAAAACAAAAACTTACAGACTTTTTAGCTGCTTCTGGTAATTGAACGCGTCGTTTGGGATTACAGAAATGTCGTTTTTGTTCAATATGAGTTCGGTTAAAATAGTCAGGTTTCTCCAAGTAACGTCGTTTAGTTTTTTAATGGTGTTATTACGTAAATCGCTAGAAAAAACCAAACGATTTGCTTAGAGTCACTTCAGAGATGAATAATAGCAATGTAAACAAAGATGACTTACAGGTGAGTGGTCCATTTAGGGAGATTCGATGGAATTGCTTGCAATTTCTTCGACGAACAGTCGACATAAGACCCCAAACAAGAGCAAATTTCCGGACAATCTTTGCTTTTCGTACAACTTGTCGAACCAATGATGTAAATAATGATCGTAGCCAAATAACAAACACCCACCATTTTGAAAAAACACTCAATTATCCATAGTAGTTTGACCGAAATTTGTATATTTTAATACATTTCGGCAACATTTTTATGGAATTAACGTTTTTCAACATCTCACTGCACTATTATTTCGTTGGTTTTAAACGGGGCGTTGTTTAATTTATTAAAATCGTTAAATTTGCAACATACTGACGCAGTAATATACACACAGAAGCCATTTAATCGGCCACTGAAGCGACATCTACAACCCGACACAATAAAAATAACAAAACGCAAATTTATTGTTTGGAACTCAAGAGGCAGGCTCAGATTTCAAAAATAATATAACTACATTGGAAAAAAATAATCCGCAAGCAAGAAAACAACAAAAAATTAACAGTAAAATAACAGGTTTCTGTACTATTACTCATGTAAAATGTACCAGATGACGCTACAACCACCACAATGACATAACATTTAATAAATAGTGACATTAGATGGCGGCACTCACTTGTCAATTTTGAAAATAGCAAAAAGCAATGTTTTGATGTAATTTTTGAAAATAAATAAATAAATGTTTAGGAAACTTGTAAAACCACAACGTTTTGTTATTATTATTATCATTTATATATTTCAATGTGGAATGAATTAAAAGTCTATTTCCACACTGTATTAAATAACCGTTGAATTTTGAAATCTTTTAGAAATATCAAATTCTACGTCACTGATGTTTCTAAAAGTCTCTTGCCTACTTATAGTTTTAATAACCCACAGTGATGTTCGAATAGTGTAAAGTAGGTCAACTTTTACTTTTCTAAAATTTAATCAAATTCCTTCATTAAATTTGAGTAATGAGCAAAATTAAGAGTTACATACAGATATATAAGTCAAAATATGTAATAAAAATAAATACTACCCAATCATTAACTTAGTTTAATTGCAATGTGAAAATAAAGTATTTTTATTTTACGTTTTTTTAATAATAGTTAGCCACTATTAAGTAGATAGTTGAAAAGCTTTTTTATCGGAACATTACTTTTATGACGCAGTTACACATTTACATTGACTACATTAAGTATATAGCCCAACAAATTTTGTACAAATTTTTCGATAGTCTAATTGAAAGAAAAACAAAAAAAACAAAAAATAAACAAAGCGAGATACACGTAACAGTAGTACATGATGTAATAATGCTTTTTGCTTATAAGACGCATTTCTTAACAATTTAGCGGAATAATTATGAAACAAATTATTATTTAGTTGCATTTTCAACGATTGCGTTTCGCGTTCTTGCTCATGTAAAGTCACGACCCCAACAATCCCAAATTTGCAATTTACTTACTTTATCTATCTATTATTTCACTTAATAAGTAGGGAATTTGCGTACAATGTCAAATATATTACAGATATTTTTATTTGAAACGTTTGAGAATTGAGATTATTTTTATTTGTTGTGGACACATTAAAATAAATGAATAAAATATGTTTTTTTTTTATCCCACATTACACATTCAATTTTCAGACTTGTGATAACATTCAATTTATGAATATTTATAAATAAATACATGATTGGGTTGAAAAAACTGCCGCGTCATGTCGAGAATCAACTAATTTCAAACGTGCTTCTAATTAAGCAAATTAAATAGTTGTTATCAGTTAAGTTTTTATTTACCAATAAATAAAATAAAGTCGAGCACAAAGTAATATTTTTAAGCTGAGTCGGTTGATCACGCTTAGTGCATTTGATAAGAGATAAAGAAATAAAAGATTTGGGTTATTGTATTGGTCGCGATGGTCAAAGTCCATGTCTTGACTGGCAAAATGAATCAAAAATCTAAAGTTCGTGTCTGCGGACTTTAGCTAACCTTGGTCTCAATACGGAAGCACTTTCTTCCGAAACAATCCCCAGATTTCGGCAGGAAATGATCTGATTAGTTTCCGGTTTCCATTTATTGGAAAGCCACATTTTATGCAATCATAGCCATCGAATTGTGGCATTATATAATTAGCTAACGGTACAAAATACCACATTTCTGTACCATTTTTCCCATTTCTCTGCTGTGCTTGCAAAGTTTACGTTTTGACTGGTCTGAAACGCAAACAAGACAAGGTTTTTGAAACAAAACCGATTCATTGCCAAATTCAATGCTCCTATTAGAACCTGACGCAAAATAAAAAAAATAACGTATTGAGCTCGCGTAATTTCTGTTGATAAACAAATACTGTCTGGGGCATGGAATTTCTTGGTGGCATCGAAGAAATTACGTTATTACAAGTTTTGCTTGCTCAAGGTTTTTACGTCAATAGAATAATTAATTGAATCCGAAAGAGGAATTCTTACAAATGCAATTGAGTGTTGTTTCTTCTAGAACCATCATTAGGTTCCAAACTGGAGAAAAAAAAGCGAAAAAAAGCGTTTTTTCTGTTGTTACATAAGTTTCCATGAATGCTTCCTCTTCCACCCCAAAACCCGGAACATGGTTTCAGATCATTCAAATAAATTGAAAGTTTGTTAAATGAGTCGAGTTTTACCTTCACAGAACAATGATCAAGCGTTTTCTCACAAATGTTTCCGTTTTATAGTAAATAGTAAAATCGGGACTAACTACGCGTTTACCACTAATAAAAATTATAACCAGATCCTTGAAAATTTTTGCTAGAGACGCCAGACGGAATTTAATGACTACCTACCAACCATCCTTGAAAAATACAAGTTTTCAGCTGCAATAACGGAAATTACATACTTTCATAAAAACTTATGAAAGCACAATAATACGATTATTTCACTTGTGGCTTGACGTGATATCAAATGTATTATATTAGACACAAGAAAGGTTAAACTAGTTAAGCAGGTACACACGTGAAAATATTTACAAGCCAGTTTGTTTACATTTTAAAGTTCGTTCAATTTTTCTCGTCAGGGTGATCAACTTCATGAGAAAATATAACATTCTGGAATATTCATTTTCACACAATTTTCTTTATTCACAATCACTAATGTAATACGCCGATTACTAACCTTTTAAAGGCTGGGAAACACACCATTAAATCTCTTGAGCATTAATATCAATCCCTTGGGCGGTAATATGCAAGTTAGCCAACGTTAAGATAACAAAAATACCGGGAATTGTCAAGTAACGCATAATATTTTGCTTCTGTAACAGTTTTTCTTACTTCTAGGGGTACACTACTCCATTTGAACAATTTTATTATCAGATTCACACATTATTTCTTTTTTTTTGACATTTCTGAAATGTCAAAATCAATTTGGATGGCCTACTACGTTTGGACCTTAACTTTGTTAAAATTTTATTTTATTTAAATTTTTGACTAAAAATAATGTGATTGTGAATAAAATAGCATACAAACCTCCATGGTAATGGTAATGGCATTACCCCTTGTGCTTTAATCATGACTTTATACAAGACCACTCGGGGTAATGGCATATTTACCACCTCGTTTGTAATATACTATTACGTTTCACTAAGTATCAAAATCAAATTACACCCTTTACATGCAAAACAACACACGCATTTTGTTAATCTACTACAGGTAAGGTCATCCCTGCAAAACATTGTTCAAGCGTCATTACTAATATTTTGTCGCACTTCTCAAGTTAATTAGTGTGAGTGCCACTCGAAAAAATGTTATTATAACATGTTCATTGTTATCTCAAGCTTTCATAGATTGAGCCGCGTGTGGGAATTTTCCAACATTTAAATGCACAAAAAGTATTAATCTTGATTAGACTGCCTGACCCGTCTGGGGACCCTTGAGGCGTTTCCAAAAACTAGTCACTGAATTATTTAAAAGTGTCTTATGTTTTGTTTCAAATGTCTTCTACTTTTTTGTCGAAAACAAAACATGAATTAGCTTTTTGTAAACTGGTTTTTAATATTCGCATTATTTGCAGTTTTGTTGTCAATATGAGTGAATTTCCTGTGATGTAACAGAAAACAATGGCATAAAGTAAAGTTTATTCACATATAGTAATATGACGATTCCTAACCTTTGGGAGGTCGGGAAATTTGTCATTAACTCATTACATCCCATGGTCGGGACATAATTTGACTACCAAGGTCACGACCCCATCAAATGTCAAAAACTCTTTCATATTTATGTGCATCAAGTAGGTTGTACAAGTCTAAATGCATCTTTAATTTAAAGGCCGATTCACACAAAAAGTGTCATTAATGTCTTTCAGAACAAATTTAATCACATCAATAATAACAAAAATCTTTGTTTGCAGCGATTTTAATAATTTTTTTTAATTTTTAGGGAAGATTGAGGTTACGATTGTTTGAATTTTTGCATGGTTGCCACCTTAAAATGATCCTTTTCAACGACGACTTTGATGCACATTAAAATGAAAAAATGTGGTTATTTTATTTATTTGATGTAATAGGATATTAAATAAAATGTTTTTTAAATTAAATAATGTATTTAGTTCCATTACTTATCCAGAGGTATACAATTAACTCTCACTAAAATAAATATAATAATTAATAACAATCAAGGAGCAACACAAACGTTGAAAATATCACTCTTTTAAATAAAGAACACGCGTCCATGCATCAAAATCACGCATCTCCCACGCACACCTTCCCCCTCGTGTCTTGAAGAGGTCTTTGTCACACTGGCCCTCCGATATCGTGCTGATAACGGGAAGTGAGGTACTGAGCAGCTTCGGTCATCTGTTTCAAAGACCGGGTAAGCCCCACTAGATGCCTTCTGAAGTTTTGCGCGACTTGTTCCGTCCGATCTCCAAAACATTCCTGCGATTCTTCGATTCCTGAGTCGTTTTCGTTGCCGGCATCCGACTCCGAATCGCTGATTGTCGAGGCCGACGAATTCGTTGAGGCTACACTGACAGTCGAGGGTCTTCGTACGTGTCCCTTGACCACTGTCGCAACCGGGGCGGGAGCCTCTTCGGACACTTGTCCTTGTCCCCACAACAAATCGGCCTTCACACTATTCAGCATGTTGTAGATTTGGAACAGATCAGCGGAATTTAGCAGTTCTTGGACACCGTGTTTTGGCTTTTGGTTATGCTTCTTGGGACATGTCGGGTCGTTCTCATCACCCACTTTCAAGTCCATCAACCGGCAAGGCACTAAGATTGTCTCGTCCATGGCGTTCACCGTCTTCACGAACTTCTCCATCAAATTCAAAATACTTTGATGGGAAAATTCCGTGTCGTCGTTGCGAGCAATGCGACGAAGGCTATTTCTGTAAACAAAATTCAAATTTAAAACAATTAGAAAATTTTCCAAAGGTGTGGCCAACTTTAACAATTCCGGGTTTCATTATGCAAATTTTCGCAAATCATACTTAAAAAGTGGCGAATTTTCGCCTAATTGATAAAATTCCTGTTATCAATCTTATCTAAAAGAAGGATTTAGTCAAGTGACCCTAAATAACAATGAGTAATTTTTTTCGGAATCGAATCAGCCTACCCGAGCCAAACAATTGAATGGGAAACAGGCGACTCGACTTTCGAGTTCTGGAACAATTTCAATTAACTTTTCAGTGTTTATTAGGTTTAAAATACTTTCTTTCGTGTTGTTATTACAAAAGTAACAAGAAACTGATGCAATCTTTGTAAAAATGACCTTTTTATTTAGGGATAAAGCCGGTGGTGTTTTTTTTTGTTTTGTGTATCTTGATTACATGATTTTTCCACGTATAGGATAAAAAATTTCATCAAAAATCGAGGTGTTTATAAGTGTGACACACTTAAATATTGCATAATATCTGAAGCAGTAGCAGGTGGAATTTGAAATGAACTAATGGTAGCTTTCACCCACCAAATTTATCAATTGTTTAATGATAAGAGAAAAATGTCAAACCACCCCAGTTTGTGTGAATCAACCTACCTGCTGTTTTCCAGGCTTGCTGTGATATTTTCAGGATAGGAGTTCATTTTGAGTATTATTAAGCCCAAACTGTCACAAAACCAAACCAAAATTCACAAAACACAACAACAAACTGCTCAATTCTTGGAATTGAGAATTTGAGTTAGTCCTCGCGCTTCACTATAGCCCTCCACACTCACATTAGTGTTTTATATGAGGATGACGGATGACAGGAGTGGGGCTCCGGAGAAGGCGTGACGGTAGTATCGACAAACAGAGGTCGTGATCTCTGATTTTATTCAAAAAACTATTCAATTGCTGCTCGAAGTTCACCTTTCGTGTTTTTGCACTCACATGAGCGTCACGCGCGGGGGAAAATGCCCCAAATTAATTTTCGCACTAAATTTGCGAATTGGGGACGAGTCGCCCACAATCGCCTGATCTAGAGCCCCAAGAGTCAGACCATAATCCCGGTGTACCATTGGTGGGTTCTACATTGCTGCGCCGTGATTGGATGGCCAGATTTAGGCGCAAATTTTGATTCAAATAAAAAAAATTCAGTAAGAAAAACACCGAAACTTGATAATTGAGATGTGATTTTTGTCGGTGTCAATTGATTAATTCAACAAGCAAAGCTTAATTTAATTAGAACGGATATTGTCCACATTCCAATAAAAATTTTAATATGCATAAAGAATGGAACAATAGATGGAAATGTATCATTACCATACATACGTACCATCCATCTATTGTTTGACTTGATAAGAATTATTAATTCTCCACAATAATGACACTTTTACATAATCACGAACTTGCAGGGGTCAGATTTAATTTGGTTAAAAATATGCAATAAAAACAATCTCTAACTGATACAGTGATAATAAAACAGTTTTACTTCCTTGAATTGACATATGTAATATTTGCTGTTTTGGAGTCAAATTTACATAAATTTGCAGAACGACAAAACAAATCAAAGTTGGGAATTTTTTATTATTTTGACGTCACAGTATTGTATTGTCAATATTAATTATGCCTTGACTCTTGACACTATTACCATACTCGACATAACGTCAAATTTGACAAAAAAATCGACTTGTACGTCTTGAATTTTTTTTTAAACCAGCCCCCTTTCTTTAACCTTGCTTGAAGGACTTCATAAGGCACTTGCCCGATCCTAAAAGTTGAAGGACGCTATTTTGCTCGTCTAAATCAGCAGGTACAAGATTTTTAATGTAACAAACGAGACTTCAAACATGTTTTGTATCTCGAGCTTCATTAAATTGCAAAAAATCGCAAACATGTCTTGCAATTAAAACCGAAAAAATCATTTTTGGGTGCATTCAACTGGTTTTTTCCCTAATAATAATAGCGTTCTAGAATGTAATTAACGTGGTAGAAACCCACCCGAAGGCTTATTTCTTATTTATGGATAAGTTCCAGAACGGATTTCACTATCAATGGAATCAATAGTGGAAAAGTGCGCATCGTTTATAAACAAATATTAAAATTTATTTGCAAGTTGTTGGGTATTTTTCCGATAAACAACCGAATTCCTTATTCAAAATCTTGAAAAACCGGGCGATTTTTTGGGTAGATGGTAAAATTACCGGTAATTACAGAATTCTAACTGAAAAATTCCATCACTTCTTCAGTTGGTGCGATTATTGACTGTGGAAAAATCACAAAGATAAACAACACAAATTTTAATTAACCAGATAATGAGGACGCAACTTTGGATGATCTATACACAAATAGAGAAATGTTTAAAACGTGAAAGTGATGATGAATAGCAAGTCCGTTACAAATTTTCAACTTTCCAATGACCAACTTGCAAGAACTACGACCTAAAATCAATTTCAAATTTCATTGTCGCACCTTCGATTGTCATTTTTTGAACGAGACTCAAAGTCTACACAAATATTGTTCGATTGTCACTCTATCAACAGGTGAATCTCATGTCCATCGAAATGATAGCAAGATACTACTAGGAGGGCCCCTTCAAAACAGTTTGTTAAGAAAAATCAGTACACAATATAATCGAATTACCAGAGATACCAAAACTAAAGAACTTCTAAATAAAACAGAAAAAAAGTAATTTGGTTTTGTTTATGACAGGACTTATTTTAGAAAACTTTGATACAATACCATTTGGATATTAATCCTTTTTGTAGTTAATTAATAATGTATAATTTATTATATTATGTAACGATACGTGGTACGTATCGATTGAAACAGTTGAATTTTTTATTTTTTTTACATTGACATTTGTTTGTTTTGTCTGCGATTGTTGCGTTCTAAAAGAATTGTTAGGTCTGGTAAGTTTCAATTGAACATATTTGATATTCATTCTTCTATTAAAAGAATATTAGAACAAATTAAATCAAGTGTCGCACTAATAGTACCTCCTTATACAGGGTGAGTCATATGTAATAATAGACGCAACCCAAAATACATTTTCAGATAACACTATGCGTTAATGAATGTTCTGTTTAAAATTTTTCAAAAATATAAACCTGTAATAGCTTTGACAATTTTTATAAACTGGAATACAACAGAGTCGCTTTGACGGTACAGATTTAGCCACAGCATTTTGTGACATTCTCAATTTTTTCGTCGTTTGAGTACATTTTGAATTCAAGAGAAAAAAACATGAAATTGATGACATTGTCAAATTTAACTAATGAGATGTCAACATTTACTTTGATTTGAATTTAATAAAAAATTTTCAAACGTACAAAAAGCAAAGTTGATTGTAAGAATGTATTTTGGGTTGCGTCTAAAAATCGGTCAGGGTTTTTATTATAAGTGACAGCTTGTACATTTATCGAATGAAATTAATAACATATGCAACACAGTATATAGATCTCACAACAAGTATTTCAGATCAATTTTCAAATAATTAATTTTGCTTTGTTTCTTTTAATTTCGATTACTAAAAACAGAAAGATAAATAGATGGTGACGCCACAATGATAGTTATAATAAAATGAATCAGAACATACAAAAAATATATTACATAATTTATGAATTTTTTTTATTCCTTTTATTTGAAATTTTTGCAATTACAAAATTACAGTTTTCAAACTATTTACTCTACCGTTCCGTAGATGGCATGTCTCTAGCCAGTTCCAAAATGTACCACCAGAAGAATTTGTCGATTGTGTTCAGACGGAAAGCCGTTTAAACAAGTTTTAAAAGGAAAAAAAAAAGAATTTTTAAGAAATAGTAAACAAATTGTTCTTTTTACAATTGGATGTTGTTCCTGAATGAAAAAACTACCCCACACACACAGTAACACAGAGTTTTTATTTCATTTTGAGTATTTGTAACGGATTGCAAAATTCAATAATGAAAAAACGCATTATTTAAATTGCATGAAAAAAATACAGTAACATAAGTAGGTAATCTACAATACACCAAAAAATAAATCAAACAATTCTTGCGTACAGGGCCCTCCTAGTAGTGAAGACTTATTTATTTTTTTAATAATTGTATCACATAAATAAACATTAATACTTATCTAATCTCATAATCAAATACAGGACTAAACACTAATTAAAGCATAATTGGAAGTAAATAATGAAAATCATTTATTATGCAAGACAAAAATTAAAAATTACACCAAACACTTGATTAAGAGTTAAATCACATCACCAGACTTGTTCAAAGTCAGATTCTCGAAAAACGATAAGTATCTGCAGACTGGACTTTGAATTTATTTACTAGATTTAATAAATAGTAACAATAATACGGACTTTGACACTGGAATCTCCCTATTATTGTTTTAATTGAGACACTCAGATAAATTAAAACCAAATAGTGGGTTAAAATTAGCACAGTGATTATTAATAGCCCCCTCAAAATGTATATCACTCCCGTTTTATTTTTAGTCAGTATGACGTTTCATAGTTTTTAGCCAAATTTCTTCCTGGAAAGTGGAGATAGATACGTCATGCAATTGCATTTATTGTCGCGGCGTAATAAATAAATATATATTCGTTATTTTTGGGTAGTCATTCAAATAGCGCGGGTTTAGTTAGGGTCTTGTCACCGGCGGTTGGTATGACTGTCTGAAATTTTTCACGTTTGCAAGCCTGCCTAAACAGAGTGTGTGGAAAGCTGGGCCCTGTCCCAATGCTCCGAAATGTATTATTTTAAAAAATGTAACCTAATAAACCCGGAACGATGAATTGGGGATGAAAAAGTATGACCAGTGTGATTATAAGATGAGTTTCTTTCTTTGTTATAAATGTAGTACTAACCAAGAAAATATAGTTGAGTTAGACTATTCTCGTTGTGGTATTTCCGAAGTGCCTGTTGATGTCTACAACAACTCTCCGACTTTAGAAGTGTTACATCTTGAAGGGAATAAAGTGGGTGAGTGGCGTGGAAATTCCTAACATTACAAGTTTTCTTCCAGTTGAAGGATCTGTCACCTCAGTTGTTTCAATGCATTGATTTGAGGTATTTAAATGTCAGCGACAACGAAATCAGGTCTATTCCGCCACTAATCTCAAAGTTGAACAGTTTGCAAGTGCTAATTTTCAGTAAAAATGGTGAGTTTTGCCTGTTTGGGGCTCTGAGTCAACCACTTTTCCAGCGCTGGTTTTGGAAGGAGTCTCGCCAAATATCGATAAACTAAACAAGTTGACAATACTCGATTTAAGCATGAATGATTTAGGAAAAGTCCCTGAAGCTATAATGAGTTTGATTAATTTGCAACAGCTGTGTTTGAATGATACAGGAATTGATTATGTGCCTGCCAATATTGGACGCCTCTCCAATCTTAGAATTCTAGAATTAAGGGATAATAGTTTGAGGGAATTACCCAAGTCGATTAGGAGATTAACCAATTTACAAAGACTTGATGTTAGCGACAATAACTTGTCCCAATTGGTAATAAAAAAATCATCACTGTTGCATAACTTTTGTTTGCTTTTTTAGACTGAAGTTTGCGAATCTCATGGCAATTTGACTGAATTATGGATCAACGGCAATAATATTACGAAATTGTCGCCCGCAATAACACATTTGAAAAAAATGAACGATTTTGATGCTTCCTACAATAATCTACAAACCGTACCAAAAGAAATAGGTCAATGGACTAAAATAACTAATTTAATTTTAAGCTTTAATCAAATTTCTGTGTTGCCAAAAGCCATAGGAAACTTACGCAATTTACAAGTATTAAAACTCGAATCAAATAATTTAGAGGAGCTGCCAAACACAATAAGCAAACTCACAAATCTTGAAGAACTCAATCTCCAAAATAACTTCATTATAAAACTCCCGTCAGGAATCGGCCACTTGCGTAAACTAGCAACTCTTATACTCTCAGATAACAAGCTGGAACAGCTACCACCAGGTGATAAAATAAATTTGTACCCAAGAATTTCAATAATTGTTTCAGAAATTGGAAGTTGCTGTTCCTTAACTATTTTAAACGTCCACAATAATTATTTAAATCGATTACCGGACGAAGTTGGTCATTTACAAAAACTCACAACTTTGGGTGTTATAGGCAACAAATTGGAGTATTTACCGATCACAGTTTCAAAATTAACTAATCTGAAAGCACTGTGGTTGACCCCAAACCAGACTCAACCTTTGGTAGTATTTCTCCTTTTAGTGGCTTTATTTTATTTCAGTTATTTTAGATTCATTTACAGAACGAGCAACTTCCTGATGGCCAAGTTGTTCTAACTTCGGTCCTCTTCCCGCAAGTGCCCCTCCCTGAAGCCCCGCCCCCTGTTCACCTCCCTATGAGCACCCAGAGCTACCATATCACCTTCAACATGGATAATATCCCCACTGAAGCCTCCCTTAGCCGCACCCCAACCCCCCACCACAAGGAATTGCGCCGTTTGAAGAACATCCTCCGCGGAGGGGAGCCCCCTGAAAGTCAGCCGGCGAGCATCTCGGAGATCAAGGAGGCGAAAGTGACGCACATTTCCGGCGAATTGTCGGTGTCCCAATCGAGTCTGCTTGATAAGGAGGATGAAACACCGAAAGGGGAGGAGCCTCCGAAACAGCCGCCCCCGTATCATATCGCAGCGGCGTATTCGAAAAACGCCCATTTGTTCGCACAGATGTGCCCGCCCAGTCCGCATGACCAACCCAAACAGTTCAGTCAGCAACAACCGGCGAATATTCACCACCCGACGCCGAAGTTGGCGAAAAATCGGGAGCAAATCGGGGATTTTTACGACGAGGGGCGGAGACCAAAGTGGCCATTTGGAGCTCACCAGATTTGTAAAGTGATAGAAGTGGAGTTGGTCGGGTTTAGGGTCTTGGGGGATTTTCATGTTGTGGCCAAAACTGATGTAGGTTTTTTTGGTGACCGGTTTTGGTACTGAGAGTGATATTTTCAGGGTGTTTATGTGGATCAAGTCCATCCAGCCGGCGTTGCATATCAGAAATTGCTCCCAGGAGACAAAATACTCAGTTTTGATGACGTTGATTTCACTGTTATGGATTCGCAAAGTGCTTATGAATATGCTTACCAAAAAATCGGGACGGTTAAGGTTATAACCGTTTCACGCAGACAAGTGTCTTGACAAGAAGTATTTTTTTAGATTAGTTGCATGCCTAATACTCCTAACATTAAGTGCATCGCACTTGCATTTAACATTGTTTATGTTACCTCATAGTTGTTTTCTGATAATTTAACTAGAGGCTGTGATTTAGTTTAAGTTAACATTAACTCAAGAGTATTTGTTATTTATTTATGTACAAGTGTATTACAATTAGCTCTCTAATTTTCTATGACTAAATTGACTTTTTTATATTTCTAAAATAAATTATGATTGAATTGAGACTGTTGTGTTTCAATGGCGGGGCTAAGAAAAGACAAGTTCCTTTTTAAAAGTTTACTGGTATTGGCAATAAAAAACATGAAAATTTGGTGAAAAAACTAAATCACATTTCTTTCCTAGTAATAAACACTCAGATTAGATCTGGACAATAGCAGTGATATAAATAAAACGAAATTTTATAATAAAGAGGCGCGCTTTAAATGGAAGCAAATTGAAATAAAAATTTGTAAAACAACTCCGCTTCCGATAAAAAACCTAAATCCTAAGCCGTGATTTTCTCATTTTTCTTTTTTAAAACAATATCTTTGACATTGAGATGAGCAACTTTTTCCTTGCGTTTGGGCGGCACGGACTGCTGGCAGAACCGTTTGAAAGCTTCCAACTCCCGTTCATCAGCATCCATATCGTCTTCTAAAATATCCCTCGGTGTGAAAACATTATCTAAAACGAGCAAAAACCAAATAAAAACCCACAAAACCGATTTATTCAACTACCATAATGCAAATCATCTTTATCAAAATGAAATTTCTCTGAATTATTCGCCGGAATGATCGACACTTCGGCCGTATGACACGTCTTTTTGCTCTCCAGATCGTTTTTCGTCGCGTTTTTGTCCACTTTCGTGATCTCAATCCCCGGCAAGCCTGATAAAATTTCTTGAGCGTTGAATGGCGAAATCCGGGAGAATTCAGGGAAGTTGCACGACGACATATAACTAGTGGGGACTTCCGGTCCCAGGACCGGCTTCAGATCTGGCAAAAGACTGGGCATTGGGGCCCCACTATTGAGACTTTGTTGCAGTCTTGAACTCCTAATAGTGACCATCCCGTTTTCGTTTTTGAAAATCGACGCTTGTTGGCATTGACCACCGCTCATGTCGGGCATTATTTCCGCTTCATGGCGGGGCTGCATGTTCTGGAAAATGGGGTTCTTCAGTGTCACCATTGACGGCTTACTGGGGGCCGGTTGAGGCAACTCTCGCTGTTTTTTATTCCGCTTTCGTCGATTTTTCTTACTTGTTGTGGCACTCGATTGTTTTATAAGTTTCTCCGTATCAACAACTATTACCCCTGATTTACTGACCGGGATGTTGGAACTGTAAGGGGGGCTTTCGATGTTGGTAGCCTTGTAATTCCTATCAGTCATTGGACCATCAACTTTCGTTATTGTAATGCCTAAAAAAAAAATAAACAAGAGGAATAGTATATAAAAGAACAAGTTTTATAAGGGTTGATTTAGCGCACGATTCGTGTGCCAATGCCATTATAAAACGAGTATTTTATGCTATTTTTTCTAATTTGCGCCCCCTTTTTTCTTATTTTGATTAAAAAAATAATTTTTATTCGTCTAGAGAATTTTGTGTTAGTTGGTATCGGTTGGTAACACTCGGCGCCCACTTGATTTTTAGAATCATTTCTGCCGTCTGTCATAAAATTTACAAATTATTAGTTATTAGTGTTACAACACAATAATAATAAATTCATTAAAGTATAGCCATAAACGTATTATAAACGCAAATTAGAAAAATAATGTTTTAATGTTGTCTACCTGGGGGCAATTTCAACATTGGAATATTAATATCATCATCCTTATTGTTCAATTTGTCTTTTTTATTTTCGTTTTTGTTTTTATTTTTCACTTGTTTGTTCTTTTTATCACTTGGAGGGTCTACAGCTAGTGTCACTCGTAATTCTTTTGTAACAACTGAGTTCGCTGGTTGGGTTTTATCATTTTTGTTCTTTTTCTTCTTCTGATTCGCTGCTACTTCTAAATTAACAGTCTTCGCCACCTGTTCTTTGTACTTTTTAATCTTTTTATTCTCTTCTAACTGAGCATTATTGCCATCATGGCCATTCACTAGAGTGTATAAAAGTTTATCTTGATCAGGCGTTGAGCCTTTTAGAGTGATAGTAACAGTTGGTAGTGCATTGTCGTTTTCGACAACACGTTTTATAGTGACCATAGCTGGAATTGTCTCTTCTACCAACTCAGTATTTTTGTTCTTTTGTTTCTTCTTTTTATTTTCTTTCTTCGCGTCTGAAAAACACACTAAATGCGTGATTTAATCAGAGATGAGCTTACTTTTGGCCGCTTTTTCGGCTAGTTGCCGTGCTAATTCCTCATTCCTGAGTTTTTCCTCAGCTTTTCGTTTTTCCTCCTCAACTTTCTTCCTCTCTTCTTCCTCAAGTCTCAATCTTTCTTCTTCCTTTTTGTGTCTCTGTCTCGCCTTTTTCGCCGCTTTCTTCTCCGCTAAAGCAACTTTATCAACATTTGTATTACCCTCGATATAGTTGAGTAAGCCGTGTATGTCATTCATTAGAGGGTTAGAATTTGTTTCTTCATTTGTAGGGGTTGTACCTTCGCTCGATTGGGTGGGTTTTGAGGGTCCAGCTGCCGGTGATTCAACCTTATTTGGGTTTGTTTTAGGTTTCGTTTTTGTGTTTTTTCCACTACTTTCATTTCTTTGATTCAATCTGATTCTTAATCGATTACGGGTTTCGTTCGTTTTATGAACGTGAGAAGTCTGCAAATGCGACATTTTAACACACGATTTGGGCTATTTACTATTTACCGTTGTCCCGAATACTTCGCAAAAAGTACAATCGCATTTTTTCGATTCCTTGTGATGATCGCATTGGTCCTGATAAGCTTTTTTAAACTCTAAAAAAAAAAAAAATTATCGGTAAAAGCGCCACAAAATTTTATCATCACCTGATTTTAATTCTTCCTCGAGTTTGCAGCTATGACCACATGGGAAAGTATTACCGTTGCTTTTGTTCGTATTTCTAAAAATAGTTTGTGTTAAGTTTGAAAAAAAAAAATACTCCTACTACCTACTTTGAGTTTTTTACAACCTCAGATTTGGGCTCCTCGGGTTTAGGGGGCGTATTTTTAACCCTTAAATTGTGTAAAATATAGTAATACACAAAACAGTGAAAATTGGCTTACGCATTCTGAACCGGTGGTTTTTCGGTGATTTTGGGATTCGCCTCCGCTTTGTTTTCCTTCCCGTTGCGCGGCAGCGAAAATCTGTGTTTCAAAAAATTATAAAACGTCTTCCTTGACATTTTTGTGATTTCAAGTCCGGGAAAAGCCAATTCGGTAACGTCAATATCCTCGTCCTCATCTTCGAAAATGTTATGTTTGAAAAGTGGGGGCTCGTTTGCAAGTTTCGGGCAGGGATCTTTCGAAATTTCGCCATTTTCGTGACGTTTCAACGAATGTGATATGAGTGAGTCGTTTTGTGCACCATTTTTTCTCGCTCCTTTCGAATTTGATATTCCTAATTTGACAATATCGATGTTGTCTGAAATAATCTTCGAGAGATTTTTACAGTTGCTTCCATCTAATTCCGCTACAGCGCGTCCTAAAAATAATTTAGTTTAATAGCGAAGAGCCGTTAACTCTGGAATTAGTTGTACAGTTTTTTTTAATTTAATCGTAATTGCTTGGAATTACTTGGTTTTATTAAAATTATTTTCGGGTTAAATCACT